TATTGAAAATCTATACAATTGTTTGCATAGGCTTAAACTGAATAATTCCATCTTCTCTAAATTTCTTTTAAAGAAAAACATAAAATGCACAAAATTCAAAGTTTGAAAGAATGATCTTGCCAAAACTATTTGTTGTTACATAATTGAGAAAATATTAATAGAGTTATTTATACCTGCTTAGACTCCTTTGGTGGAACAATTAAGTGTTCAATTACAAGCTGAAAGGTTGGTAGTTCCAACCCAGAAAGAGTTGCCTTGGAATACAGGCCTGGTGATCTGCTTCTGAAAGGTCACAGCCTTGAATTCCCTGTGGAGCATCTCTACTCTGCAAACATGAGCTCACCAAGAGTCACAATATACCTTAAGGCAACTAACAACTATATCACCTATTTAGTTGAATGTGATAATCATTATACTAGAAAACTCAGGGAACAATGCTATTTATAATAATAACAAACTAGAAAAATGCCTGATACACAACTAAAAAAAAAAAAAACAAAACCCAAACTCCCAGCTGTTGAGGCAATTCAGATTCATAGTGACCCCTGTTCAGTTTCTGAAGCTGTAAATCTTTATGGAAGCAGATAGCCAATCTTCCTTGTGCAGAGAGGCTGGTGGACTTGAACTGCTGACCATCTGCTTAGTGGCCAAATGCCTTACTCATTATGCCACCAGAGATCCTTCTGTAAATATTTTTCCATTGTATAAATGAACTTTTTTTTCCCCCTAAAAATTGTGTATTATAAACTGAGAAGGTTAGTATGTAGCTGTAAGAAAATAATTAATAAATATTATCTTAGCTTCAGGGGAAACCATTATAATAAGAAGCTAATAAATTTATAGTTATGTAATTATCCCTGAAAAATACTAATAATGTATATAAAATATGGTAAGAGAACTCAAGAATTACAAAATAGCATTGTGAATTTATATTTATTCCTAAGTACTTATAAAGTTGTTGCAAAGTGCAGTGTAGTAAATTACCTGGTATGGCTTTTCTAGCCATATGTTTTTGTAAACTCCTTGGTGGAAATGGCCATGAGCAACCAAGTAGCTCCTGATTGTTAGTCATCCACCTGGGGTATTTCTGTTGGGAGCAGCACAAAATAATTTTCTGGGAAGTTTGCTCTGTCTCAGGTGTATGGAATTCTGATGTTGGGATTGGTTAGTTTGGCCACTCTGCCAGGCTCAAAAGGAGGCCTCCTGGAGGCAGAAGGAGTCACTCTGACTGCTGGCTGCGAAAGATGTGCTGCTGAGAGAAATCCACTCCTGAGAGACAAGAGCTGCTGAGAAAGAGATACCGAGAGACATGCACTGCTGGGAGAGAGACTGAGAGAAACTGTTGGCTGAGAGTTAGCAGGCTGAGATGGGTTGAGCATTGTTCCTGAACTTGAGTTATAGGGTGCTTCCCTAATAAACCCCAATCTGTGAGTTCTGTGTGGCCACTGCAGTGAATTATTGTAACCCAGCAGAGAGGTGGTGGTGGGTGCTATGGGAGAAACGGTTGGTAAAAGGGCTGGAGAGAGGCAGCACGTCTGGCCTCTCAGGGATAGGCCTTGGGCTACCGATGGTGATTCTGGCTTCCTCTTGTGGGGTCAGAGGAGGTCAGAAAATGTGGCCTCCCTGTCCCTTTGGCACAATGATTTTAATAATACGGTTTTATAGACTGGGCCACTTTATGAGACACTTAGGTGCTATTGCTATATTTGTTTTCAGGAACTTTTAGTAGGTATTTTGTTGATTTGTCAATACAATGACATATCAGTAAGATAACTTATTCTAAATCTAAGATTAATAATGCAGGCCTGAATTTCAAACACAAAAGTAAACATAAACATTGGCTTTCAGTTTTCCATGACACTTGACTTCAGAGGTTAATTTATTTACCAAAACAAAAACAAAAAAAAAGACAGTATAAATGTTTCTGTATCTCTTTCAGATTCACATGATCTAACTAGGACAGTGGTTTTCCAAGGGTGGCCCTCATATCAGCAACTTCAGGGTAACCTGGGAGCTTTATAGAAATCTTAAGTAATGAATATGGAACTCTGGTGGCATAGTGGGTAAGGCATTTGGCTGCTAATCAGAAGACAGGCAATTCAAACCCATTAGCTGCTCTGAGACAGGAAGATGCAACAATCTCTACTTCCATAAAAACTGGAAACCCAATAGGGGTCCTTATGAATTGGAATTGACTGGTTGGCAGTGAGCAGTGGTAATTCAAGGTTGTGCCCTACATCTAATGAATCAGAATTCCTGAATGTGGTGTTCCAGTACCAGTATTTTAACAAGCCCTCCAGGTTGATCCACGCATCCACTAAATTTGAGCACCACTGAGCTAAGGACACCAAACGTCCATAGCTTTTTAGGCCACTCTCACTCTGAGTGAAAGTTTCTAAGACTCTGATTGCCAGAAACCAAAGGGGTAGGGAAATGAAGTATCTTTCTGATTCAGTTAAGGTTTCCATTAGGAAAGATTTGGGATAAAAAATAAAAATAAAAACTGGGTTCTCAAGGGAAACCACATGTTTAAAAAGCTCTGTAGGATTAGAGGTTGGAAAGGTTTAAAGTTGGTGTCCAGTTTAATAGCTACCCACTAACCCAAAACAGCTGTTGTGAGTTTTTTACTCTTGGATGAAGAAAGAGGGAAATATTTTATGAAAATTCTAAAAAAATCTGATGTTTTTCAAATTGAAATTCAAAACACAAGACTATTAATTCTAACAAGAAAGGAAGTTAATTTCCTTGAAAATGAGCATATTAACATTAACAAACTCCATAGATCAAATTTATACAAATGATTACAATGATGAGCCATTTAAGGAGAATCAATAAATTGGGAAATGTGAATATGCTATGCATTTATATAAATATTCAGTAAACATCTGTGAGACACTTCTTCAAATAATTTCTGATAAGTCTGTAGGAGAGAGAGCCTCAGAGAGATATGCTTTCAGTGTGATGGTGGCCATTTATAGATATAAGGCAGCAGTACGAATTGGAAAGGAGAAGGTTTAGGGCTCAGATCTTAATTCTATACCTTAATACTCTGAACCTTACTTGTTCCAGTAAAAATAGAGATTAAATTCCTTAATGCATAGTAGAGAAAATACTGTACATTAAAGAAGGTACATTTTATCAGTATTTCTAGCATGGTGTTTGTCTCATAAAAAAGAACACTCAAAATTGTTTAGGTTTTTACTTACTGGTCTGTCAATAATTACTTGCACAAAATTGACAAATTAAAATATTTAATGGAGAAAAGTCCAAATTAAGTAGACAATAATGCTGTTTATCATTTTCTTCATTCAAGAGAAAAAGAGGACAAAAAATACAAATATTCAAAGAAGAATTTTGTCATAAGAAAACCGTTGCTCTGTAATTCCTCTTGTTTTCTGTTATCTTATGTGAGATTTTGATGGAAGTGGATAAAATTGGGGAGATTGTAGATAGACTAAACTTGTGGGGCTCATATTTACAGCATAGAAAGAAAGAGACTTTCAAATTTGGCACCCAAAGCAAAACCTTTTAACATTTTAGTTAACTCTCTATCTATTTGCATTATGAATCTAAAACCATTGACCCTTGTCAAATAGTGCAATGTACAAATAGAATGTTTCAATGGCAAAGTCATTCTTTAGAGAAGAAAAGAAACATGGGAAATTAGTAATTGTAGATATTAGCAGGAGAGACTTGACATAAGACACCAGAAAAAATAAAGCAAATGAGACCTCTCTCTAAATAAGATATGGGGAGGAAATGGTGCCTCCAAGGTTTAAAATTTTCCCAGTTACAATTTCTAGGGTGAATGACTGAAATACTAAAACCATCTAGTTAGATTTCATATTGTTCAGACTAAAGCAGAGACTCTGATACAGCAAGTTGTCTCCCAGAACTCTAAGATCACGAAGTAACCCATGATCCCTCGTATATTGATAAATATCTTAATGAGGGGACAACTTTTCATTATTTCTAAAACCAAAATACTAGACTATGAACTAAAACTTATTTTCTCCCTTCTCTGCAATGTATATGACTTTATGTCTCTTCAAATTCTCTTTCTGAACTTTCTCTTTCTGAAATTGCATGTTGGGTATTTAAATATTGTCTGTCCACATTTAAAACTATCTCAGAGCAATCACTGTGTGGTTCTCTTCTTTACAAATGCCTTTGCATCTCAATAAATATTTGATGACTTGCCCTGAAGGCAAATGATGTGAATAGAAAGTAAATAAAATTAAAGTTCAAAGAGAAAGTTGTTGGATACTAGATGATACTTCAAACAATCAAAGTAGACACTGAATCTGAGAGTGACATGCATGTCCTTTGCAAATGTACATTTGCTCTTATTTCACTGAGATGGCCTGTCCATGAAATAAATTGTTCTTTGGAAGGACAACAACAATATACAATTTGCCCCTTGGCTACTTAATTATAGGGCCTCTGTCAGTAACAACAGAACTGCTTGGCAGGAAGAGACCTTAGCTACTATCCAGCCCAAAAATCTAACCCATGTTTCAGCTCCCAATACCATATTTCCTCCAATGGGCCATTCCATTTCCTAAAATCGGGCAGTGCACCATAGAGTAATTAAATGATCCAATTGTGAAAAATCTGTACTGAAGAGCTGATCATTACTTTTTGTGTTATTGATATACAGTTTTCAAAAAATGAGTAATAATCAGTGAAAAGGTATTTTTTGTGTGTGTGGTGTACAGTTTTATTTGTGCTGTTTTTATGTGACAGGACAAAATAACATTTAACTCGACTATAGCTGTTTTGCAAGTGTAGACTGTAAGTTCCATAAATATAGTAAATACATCTCTTCACTTTTGGATCCCAAACATCTAGGACAAAATTGGTAAATAGCAAGTACTTAAAAAATAATAGTTTTAAGATGCAATGGTGAATAAGTAAATGAAAATTTATTTTAATATTTTTCTACTGCAATTTCCATATCCCCCTTTCTTCCAGCTGTCACTACAATCAAATCCTTCAAAATGATAATGAAAAACATGACCACAATGAGTGGATTCCTCCTCCTGGGATTCTCTGACATTCGTGAGCTAAAGATTTTACATGCTTTGCTGTTCTTGATGATGTATCTATTGGCTTTGGCAGGTAACCTCATCATTATCACCATCACCACCTTGGACCATCGTCTCCAATCCCCCATGTATTACTTCTTAAAGCACCTTTCCCTTCTGGACCTCACCTTCATTTCTGTCACAGTCCCTCAGTCTATTAACAACTCTCTGATGGATGATGGCTATATTTCCCGTGGTCAGTGCATACTCCAGGTTTTCTTCTTCACATCTTTGGCTTCAACTGAGGTAGCCATTCTCACAGTGATGTCTTATTGCCGCTATGTGGCCATCTGCTTCCCACTGCACTATGAAACCATCATGTATCCTAGGAAGTGTAAGTGGGCTGCGTTAGCTGTATGGCTAAGTGGAAGCATCTCTGGAATCTTGTACACAACAATCACACTTTTTATTACATTCTGTAGAGTGAAAATAATCCACCAGTTCTTCTGTGATATTCCCCAGTTGATAAAGCTCTCCTGCTCCAATGATTACCTTGGAGTTGTTGGAGTTAACATTTTCATGGCTATGATGGGATTGATCTGCTTCACCTCCATTGTCCTCTCCTACAGCCACATCTTCTCCACAGTTCTAAGAATACCCTCTGCTGAGGGCCGATCCAAGGCCTTCTCCACCTGCCTGCCCCACCTCTTTGTTGTCTCACTTTTTATCTCCACAGGTGTCTTTGACTTTCTCAAACCAACTTCAGATTCACCCAGTGCTTTTGATGTTGTGATTTCTATCTTTTATTCAGTCATGCCCCCAACTTTCAACCCTATTATCTACAGCTTGAGGAATGAGGCCATAAAGGGAGCCTTCAGAAAGTTACTATTGGGTGAATTCACTATGCAAAAGACATTTTTCTCCTGTTGTTAGTGTTTTATTACTATTATTTTTTTAAAATTTTGTTTGGTTTTATATATTATACATAAGGTATGCTTTAAATAGTATTGATTCCTTTCAATATGTGATACTGAAGAAAAGCATTATATTTTTATTCCTATACATTAACCATGCAACATAACCATTCTCATTAGGGAAATTCTCCATGTAATTCCTGCACTTTTTCAGTAATAGAAACAATTCATGCATTCTTCCAACTTAAAAAGAAATAAACAATTATATCCTTTTTAATATAGAGTCACTATTTTCCTTTCCCTCCCAATACATAAAGACATAAACACATCCAGAGACATACCAACAGATATAAACACACATTTTATTTTTCAGTCTGAGTATTAAATATTACAACAAAATGGAATACCCACAATCTCACTAAACACCAAATTAGCTATTTTTACTTCAATTGTTTCTTTTCACATGATCATTTTAATTCTCATCTTGATACATACCAATTTTGCAAATTGGTAAAAATTTATATATTATTATCCCCTACTTTGGTCATGTTATCAGAAGAGACCCTTACCTGGAGAAGGATATCATGCTTGGTAAAGTGGAAGGTCAGCGAAAAAGGGGAAGGCCTTCAATGAGATGCATTGATAGTGGCTGCAATGATGGGCTCAGGAATAGCAGGGATTGTGAGGTTGGCACAGTACTGCTTAGTGTTTCATTTTGTTGTACACAGAGTTACTATCATTCGGAAACCACTCAATGGCACCTAACAATAACAATAACATGTATAGTTACGTAGTTTTAATTTTCTAATTTCATAAATGCATGGCATTTAATGGAATTCATGTCATAATACATTTAACTATCTATTTTACACATTTAGGTCATTTCCAATTTTTCAGTATTACAAATAATGCTAAAAATTGAAGTTATGCTCTTCATAATTTTAAGGAATTGGGGTTTCTGAATTAAAGTGTAGAGGAAGTTCAAGTATTTTGAACATATATTGCCATTTTGCTTTCCAAGAATATTAAACTATGTTATGTGACCATTAGGCATGTATGGACATGTCACTTCTTCTACCTATTTCATACAATTTTAGTATTTATAAAAGAAATATTAATAGAGAAGCTACTAGATAATTGAAACACAAAATTGTGAAGTGATACACAGCATTGGATATTGTAGGGATTGTATATTTTTACAGCAGCAAAATTTTACCTTTCATAATTTTTTTTAAATTGTGACAATAGATTAAACATGGTTTTAATATCTATTTATTTTTCATGATACTGATTTAAATTTTGCACATTTTTGTTTTATCAATTTTATTAAAAGTTTTACAATTATTACAATTTTGTATTTTAGAATGGAAGAATACATTTTTCTCAGTCCCTCTTTGATTTAGTTTTCAGGCAATTGATTTACTATGCAAACCTTATATCTTAAAAGTTAAATATTTATTATTAATAATTGTGGTAATAATGTATAACCACTAGAGTAATGGTGTGTCAGGGGCATCTGACCTCCTAGAACTTCATGAGGGGAGAGAAAATCACCATCAGCTTAAGCCCAAAGATACCTCCTACAAGGCACAGTTCAGACATATCTCTTCTTTCCTACCTTTTTAGCAGTTCTGACACCAACCACCCTTCACAATGCACTCTCTACTGAGTTTAATAATTTGTCGCAATGTCCATACAGAAATCCTAGACAACACTGAGGATCATAGGTTTGTAAGCGATGAAACAGGTTACAATTCAGGATCAGAAATGCCTCAGGATACAGTTCTTTGATCTGGACAGCCTTTTCTCAGTAGTGCCCACAGGTTTACCTCTCTCTGGCTCTTGGCCTCTTGTCCATTCAGGTCTCTTTTGCTGGACTGCCCTCTGCCCTGCAAGGGCTAGTGTTGCAAAGCACAATAGCTCCACCAGTAAGTACCCAGAAGTCCCCTAATCCATCAGTAAGTCTCAGCCCAAAGTTCTCAGTTGTCTCACTTTGTGGGTTGGCAAGCTTAACTCTTGTGAGTGGCTGGAGGCACCCTACTGCACTAGAAAGCTTCCTGCCAAAAGGCACTAAGGTTCCTCCATCCGTTGGCTGGTAAACCCACCTCTGTGTCTCCTGCTGGTCTCTGGGTTGTGCTGCCTCTGCTTCCACTGTTTCTCTGCTGCTGCTTCCCATTGTCTCCAGCTCTCTCTGTCTCCTGGATCTAAATGGTGGTCACTGCAGGGGTCGGAGGTCCGAAGGATGTGCTCCACTCCTAGGAAATCTTTCTTAGTGACAGCGGTCTCCCACCATATTCCCTGTTCCCTTCTCTCTCTCTTGATCTCTTATAAAATAAAAGAGTGATTCAAATAAGGGTGTAGCTTAAAAAAGGGTGGTGAGAGTGATGACTGGGGTAAGCTTGGTGATTTGAGGAACAACTTCTAGTTATGTAGTGACTCGAGATACATCCCACCCTAATCCTGCCTCCTTAACAGAAAATTCAGCCCAAATGGGACCATAACCACAAGCATAGAGTCTAGGATAATTACATCAGATCCCCAAATGGAGGACAACAACACCATACTGGGAAGAAATGGTTTAACCAAGTTGTCACAATTTAATCCATAACTTTCCACCTTTAGTCCTACCCAGTCATTGCAATGGAGTCATAAAGATTATGACCAGAAGGGCCATTATTTAGTAAGTCTCTGCATTGCCACCAGCATAAGCTATCAAGACTCTGGTTTAAGTGGTTAATACTCTGATATATTCCTTCCACAATAATTAGAGTATTGCATCCAACTACAGTAACATGTGGATCTGATTGTTTTTCTAACTTGTGTATCAATTAAATATTTTACTGTAATTTTTAAAATAATTCTTCCATTTACCTGGGGTACTGAATCACCAAAAGAGCAAAGCTATTTTTATTTATACTCCTGAACTTTTTATTCTTTTTCATTAATCTGTACTTATAAATTTATGTTAGTTAAATAATATTTTAATCATTGTTTGCTGCAATACTTTGTGTAGTATAACCATTCTTTTGTCTATAAAGTATTTTTATTATTTTCTATTTGTATTCTTACAGATAAATTTTTAACCTCCTCATCCATTGCAATAAATATTGGATTTTCATGCAGCGAGTCAGTCATTCAATATTTATAAATTAACTTGACAAATGTTATGCTCTTAAAAATTATGTAGTTTGTTTTCAGTAATAAATACTAAAATTTTGTTGTTTGTGCCAAGTCAAATTCTTCAGTTCTCATTATAAAACTAACTCACATTTCACAATAGGTTTATTTTATACTTTTTTGTAATTGAGTTAATCCTAATTTATTTTCTTCTTGTTTAACATACATTGCAATTACCAAACATCTTTGAACAGCATGTTCAATTATGGAAATTCTCACATTACCAAGTCTACCTCCCAAGGCAGAAAACAAAAACTCACTTTCTGGGACTGCCTTATAGCTAGAATGCAGGCATAGGACCTGAGTTCTGAGATTAGATGCTGTAGGCTGACACTTCAACTTAAAAAGAGCAATTTGAGAAAGTAGGTACCATGTTGCATCAAGTTCCTCTGAGGTTGTTGGTTGAGACAGGAAGCTTTGGGGAGCAGCAGTAAGTAGTGGAATATGAAATCCAATGACAAGCATCACTTCTGGGAACTGCAACGTCAAATATGTTCCCTTGGACTCATAACTTCTGGACTTGGTTATCAGGCCTGCTAAGAGACTCTGTGATTTGACCGATATTTTAAAATAAGCTTATTTTCTGATTAAAAACCCTTTCATGATCCATGGGATATACACCTCCCATATATGCATTTGCCACCTCTCAGGTTTATTGGGAAGCTGTTTTCCTACTGACAGTACATGCAACTGTTAGAATAGAGTCTGCGTAACAGTCTGAAACAGAAGAAATAGCATATTCGCAAATTATTGTTCTTACAGGGCAATGTATGAAGTGTCTAAATTTTTTATGAGAAAGACAGAAATTTTGAAAATTATTGTTTGAAACATATAGCTGTGGACTTTGGTGTGACACTGAGGTCAGAATTTGTGGGACAATATATATCCCTTGGACAACAAGGGTAGGCTTGTGGGATAAGGCACAAAGAAATCCATACTATCTACCAAAATTTCAGATACACTCAAGAATTCAGCATATTAATGAAAATACATTTCAACAAAATTCAAACCAGAAAATAACTGGGTCAGGAAAGTGTTTAATAGAGTTAAAATTGATTGTGTATGATGCAACTGAGAAAACTGAGAGACACAATTGTTAAAAACAAGTGCACTGATTTGTGTACAATGAATTTAAAAATCTACCTAATTTCTTAATTTCTAAATAATGCTAAGAGTAATAACTGAGTTCTCTGTGTTTTCAACATCATTCACTAATATCTGTATATTCTATTATAATCAAGTGTATTCCCTGTTTTCAATTTATACATCAAATAATCTATCTTTCAAATATTGTTGTTAGTTGCTGTCATGGTGACTGTCTTAGTCTGGGTTCTCCACAAGCAAACTCAATGTCATTTACATGTATATACACACATGCACAAACACAGAGAGCTAGAGAGAAAGGAAGATTGATTTATCTAAAGGAAATGCCCAATATGTTTGTAGAGGCTGGCCAGTCTCCAGAAAAGAAAACTTTTGTGGTGCACAGTGGTATTCACTGTGACACACACGGGGTCACCATGAGTCAGATTGACAGCAACAGTATTTATTTGTTTTCTCTCTCTGTCTCTTTTTTTTTTGTTGTTGTTGTTTTTGAGTGTTAGTAATATGAAACTCCTTTTACATATTGATCAGCAATTCATGTTTGCTTCTTATAGAATTTTAAATATTTCCAATGGGTATTTCAATATTCCAGTACAGTTCCTTGGAAACATCATCTTTTCTCCACTGTATTGCAGAGACATATTTATCATGAATTTGGTAATGGCGTATTGTGTGAGTCTAGTTTGGGATAATCTATTCTGTACCATTGTTCTATTTAATTGTCATTTATACCACATT